GGGGGGGGGGGGGGGGGGGGGGGGGGGGGGGGGGGGGGGGGGGTGCACTAAGGTAAGAGGTGCTGTATCGGATGTGGGTTCACCGCCCGCTCGGAGGGCGAGGGTTGTAATCAACAGATGCAGCAGCAGGGCTTGCACGCGCGTACACTACGCTGACAGGTTCCACCGATCCAATATGTTGTGCGTTCCACCCCTGCTTGTGTTGCGCGAAACTGCGAGGTGAACCTTCTGTCAAAACGCGATATGCGCACTCATCGGCACATCGGTTTTGCGCATGCGGATGGCAAAAGCCTGACAGCATCAAGTCTCCACGCCGGAAAGAAGCCGCGCGAGAAAAGAGCAAGCAGTACAACTAATTGACTTCGACGTCGCCCACCACCAGATCATCGACAACAACAAAAAAAAACTTTCTTGGCGACTCGCCACACCCTTGAGGGTGACGGCCTTCTGCCCATCCAAGCATGCACACCCTCGAATGCGGGAGAAGACTTCCGCCCTACCACCAAATAGCAGATAGCGGCAGCGTTTTACGCGAAGCCTGTGTTCCGATCCGCCACAACACGAAACACATCGGACCAGAAGGTCTCACCTGATTGCGGGTACCGTCGTCCTCCATCTCCTTCAGCCGACGCATCTTCTCCTCCGGTGTCATCGCTCGTCGCTTCCGAGCGTCCGCCCTCATCTTCTCCTTCTCCTTCCTCTCTCTCTCCTTCGCGTCCAACAGCGCCGCGGCTGGCCCCAGAGACTTCCCTCCGCCCCCACCGCCCCCGCCTCCGCCCGCCACAAGCCCGTACCGCTTACCCTCCGCAGCACCCGCGTTGTTGCTGTTGTTGTTGCCGCCGCTACTGCTGCTGCTGCTGTTACCGTCTGTCGCGGCACGCCTAGCCTTCGGCGGGCTCTTGCTTCGGCTGCGGGAGCGCTTCCTTTGCCGTTTCTGCTCGTGGTGGTGTCGCTGGTCCCCCCTTTCTTCCTTTCTGCCGCCGCCCCTCTCGCGCCTCGCCGGCGGCGACCGGCTCCGGCTCCTGCTCCTGCTCCTGCTCCTGCTGCGGGACACGCTTTGATTCGTCCGCCTGGTAGTACCACGCTCCCGATCTCCTCCCCTTCCTCCCCTTCCTCCCCCTCCTCCGCGGCGAGGGGAGTCGCCACCCCCGCCGCCACGCCCCCGCCCTCGCTCCCTCTCGCTTCGTGTGTTACCGCTGCCGCGCTCGTACGAGCGCCGGTGGTCCTCCCCCCTCCGGTGGCCCCTCCACTCTTCCGTGCGACTTCTATCCCTCCCGTCATCCGCGGCGTCTCCTCCACCCCGCCTCCCAAAACCTCCGCTCACCGCCGCCGTTTTGTCGAGGTCCCTACAGCGACTTGCTCTTGCTTCGCTAGCGCCATCGCTTCGTCGCTCAGAGCCGCGGCGATGATCGCCTCGGCTATCGCTGACCCTTGGCCCTTCCCTGTCGCGGTGGTGGTGATGGTGGCGGCGACTATCGTCGGAGTCTTGGTCGCTTTCGTCGCTACTGCCCCTGCCGTTCGTGCGCTGCTGCTGCTGCTGCTGCTGCTGCTGCTGCTGCTGCTGTTTGTCCTTGTCCTTCTTGTCCTTTTTCTTTTGCTGTTGATCATGATATCGGAGTGAAACATATATTGGCCGGGGGGGGGGAGCCGGCGGCGTTAGTTTCGGATTCCATCAAGCGTGAAGGGGATGTGGGTAGTTCTGCTGACCTTTAGCTGACACCAACACCAACACGAGCACCAGCACCAGCACCAACACCACGGCTGAGACGCACACAACACCACCGCTGCGCACGAAAGAAAACAGTAGCAACACGGGGGCGAAACATGCATCGTACAGAGGAGAAAGAACAACGAAAAAAAAAAGAGAGAGAGATGATAAAGAATAAATACCTTCTTCGCGTTTTTCTTTGCCTTCTTCGCATCTTTTTTCGCTCGCTTCTTCTCCGCCTTCGCATCCAGCTCCGCCTGCAGCTGGTGCATCATCTTGCTCATCTTCACCGGGTTGTTAACCACGCTCTGTTCAGCCTCCATTCGCGCCTTCCTGCGATAAGTAACGAATAATTTGTGTCAGGCGAGGGATCAGCATCTCGATATTCGAACATGGCCCTAGCAAGGCGGCTAGCGTGACACGATACCCAAACGGGCTAACAATTCCGATTACATTATTCCAACACCAATTCTGCGAAAGAAGCACGGTTTTTCATTTCTACGCGCCACCTCTCGTCGGGGAAACCCAAGAACTAGGAAGTGTTGAATGGAGCTTGCCCGCTGTACACTGGTTACCTGGTTGGCGTGTCCGCCAACGAAACACACGCACCCACCTCATGCGCAGCAAGGGATCCTCGTTGACGCGACGGAAGGCCTCGTTGGCCGTGGTGGCCGGAGCGGCCGCGAAGAGGGTGCCCGGCGCCTTGGTCTCCTCGATCGTCTTAAGTTCGCTGGTCCCCTTGTCCTTCATCTCGAACTGGTTAATTGTTGTTGTGGATTGGCCGTACGGTCGGATTTTATGGTTGAAATTGGTAAGTGCATGACAACGGTCCGTGTCCCGCAAACGCACACGGAGCGGGCAGACCCGAGGTGAGCAAAATGGAAATGAAAACAGACTCGTGATTGCGCCAGGGGCGAGTGAGCGTCCATCTTCCCGCGGGTTGGCTAAACCAACCTAGTTCGCCTATGCGCGCAGGTGCTGTCTGCCTTGATTGCTGGCGGCAATCCTCGTCCTGGCTATGCCGTTGAACCACCCGGTCCGTCCACTCGTTGCACTGGCCTTGCTTCGACAAGTACGGTCATGACAAAAAAAAGGAAACAGGCAAAAACCCCGTTCACGTCTCCGGCGTGGTGTTCAAGGAGTGCCGTGATGTCAACTACAAGCGGGGGTAGACGCTGCATCACAAACTCGACACAGGCGCGCACCTTCTTCCCCATGAGGTACTCGTTCGACTCCGCCTCCTGGTCCTGCGCCGACTGCATGGGGCCCTCATACATCCAGTCGATGCGCTGCTTGCGCTCTGGACCGTGGCCGCCGGCAGCCTGCGGGTATTCGTCACGGGGTAGACGTTGTAAAGCGCCCGAGGGGGTCGAAGGAACACAAAGGGAGACAGGCGGGTAGCCGTCAGGGTCAACCCGCGTCTCTCGAAAGAACGTCAGAAACTGCTGTTGCGTGGATTGTCGTACAAGATCGTAAGATTGCGAATTTCTATGCATACTTGGGGAGCGATCCCGGGAAGGCGGGCTGAGGCAAAAAAGCTGAGGTGCTGCAGCGTCACCTGCCGAGTGTGGATGTTGATGTTTCGCTTTGTATTTCACGCTCACGTGAAACAGGTTTCACACTCACGTGAAACAGGTTTTGGTTCGGATCATCCATTTTCCATAATAGCTGATCAACATCGACACAGGCACTGGGCAAAATAGCATCGGGGTGTGCCTCAAGAACAGGGGGCTGTTTCATCATGCCATTATCGAGAACCAGGGGTGTATACAATAGCGGAGTGTGTTGAGCTGTCGCATCGTTCGTTGGTGTCGATCAAGGGTGCGAGAAAGAACGCCTGCGTGTTCAAAACAAATTATCACTGTTGCCTGGCTCCGGCCTCTGTCATGATACTGTAGGAAGGCACACTGCATTGCGCTCTGCGGATGCTTTCAAACGCATTGCCTTATCGTACCGTCTGGATAGACAGGGCAGCAGTCTGTTCTGCGCGATCTATACCGAAATGTGGTGAAATCTCAGAACCAGTCTCTCTCTTTGTTTCAGGAGGAAAACCACAAGATACAAACGCGGTACACAAGCCCACATGCACACGAAGGCGCACGACGTACTCACACCCATGTAGCACAGCCGGGCACACACCTGCATCTCCTCCAGCTCTCGAACTTGCTGCTCCTCCCTAACCTGCTTGGTGAGCTCCTCGATCCGCTTCTTCTCCGCCGCATCCTTTTGCTCGGCAATCCAGACCTTCTCCGCGTTCTGGAGAGTAGAGGGATGCCATGTCTTCTTGAATAAGAAGGCTAGGGACATGTTGGCGTGATTGCGCTCCTGTGGCAATAGCGTGTGGTGGCGATGTATCAGCTGTCACAGCAGTTTTGGTATGGTGTGCTCTAGCTCCTGCCCACCATGATGGTGGCGCCGTGAGTAAAACAGGAGAATGGGGGGGGGGCGGTTCACGGGATTTGCAACTCGGTCCTGCAGCGTTTTTGGGCGGTGAAACCGTCATACGGCGCGACGATCGTTCGAGTGATCGAGTAGAGAGAGAGAGAGAGAGAGAGAGAGAGAGAGAGAGAGAGAGAGAGAGGAACCAGCCAAAGGAATAATAGAGTTATATCGCCACGAAAAAGTATTGATTGAAACCATACAGTAGGTTTGTCCCGCAACAACACGCATCATATTTCATCGAGACACTCGAACCCGCCGTGGGTGTCTGAGCTGTGAGTAACACCGCCGTGCCAACAACATGAGCTTGCAAGGGTCGATTCATACGTGGTCGGACGGTATCGGGTAAGTATTTTCTCTCGATACTGCGATGAAGCAATGACCTCTGTTAGTCAACAACATCTTGCATCGTAGCAGCATCACACAAATGACCATCCGTTGATTGCGCAGAGAAAATTGGTTGCGTGGCTTCGTCCCCAACCGTGTCGGTCGCGATTTCCTCTGGGCACAGGTACGGCGCTTTCATCCCGAACGACCGGGCGTACTTCAATGTACGGACGCCGAGGGAAAGCGCTCGGCGACCTTCGAGCGAAAACGTGCGGGAGTACCGAAGAAAAAATATTACTGCCGGGATAGACACGCACAGGTCGGACGTGTCCTTCGGCAGGACCACGGAGAGTATTCGCGGAGGCGTGGATGGCGACCCCAGGGCACGAGAAGCCACGAAGAGCTTGACCAGCGGAGAGGTAAAGTTTCTACTCGATTGGCCAGTCGAGCGGTGCTTACGAATGGTGATCGATGCCTTCCTTGGGTGCAACAATAGCAGGTTTGGTGAATCCCGCCGCCGTATTATTTACTGCTGTTGTAGCACGGAAAGCGCGCGCATTGCCGTTGCTAGGAATGTCCAGCAACAAGGCAGTATTTCTGCCGCGCCGACAAATTGTTCTGTGCCCTTACTTCTCTTCAAGGTCGTGTGCCTTGAACTTAATAAAACAAAAGGGGTCCTTTGCTATGGAACGCAACTCGTTGTTACTTGTAAAATGCCTTTCGCGTCAATTTGGTCATCACAGCAGGTACAGACCAGAGATCGGGATGATATACAATAAACTTTGTATATTTTTGCTTGACATACAACAACAGCAGCAGCCGCGATCACGCCTTGCTAGCATCCTCTTTAGTCGGCATTGTGTCCCATGGCTGGTGCTAATAATGATGTTACATCTCAACCCATTTTCCACAACGCACGATAATATATGTATAGACTAGTCTATACCACAAGGTTTCCCTGCGGGAGGTAGGTGATTTGCCTCCCAACGGCGACGCAAGAGGACATGTCCAATCAACGCCATCGCGGTCGCATGGTTGGTCGTCCTAACTTTTCGGTAGTGCCGGCTGATATGCACCTTCATAGTAATAATTCCCTGGAATTTGTATCATATGTGCGAGGTATTTTGTTTTCTGCCGCCGTGACTTTCCTTGTGCGCGAGTGAGTGGTTTTGGCTAGCGGTTTGCTGCAGGTCCTATTGCTGTATTCCGCTGCGTTTGATCACTTTCTCTTCGTGTGTGATCGTGTTTCCTATGGTCTGTCGGACTTTTTCACCCATACACCAACAACAACGGATCAAAGAGACGCTCAACGTGCCCAACAACAGTCAGTCACAGATAGATGTAGACTGCTACCGTACCAAACTTCTGTATTTGACTTCTTCGACTTTTCGGAATTGAAATGTACAAATTTTCCGTTGCCACAGTTGTGCGGGAGGACTTTTGTGTCGCGTGGTGTGTTCCCATGAGCATTATTAGGAGTCTTGATCCCCGCTGTGGGTACGCATGCACCAATTTCCGTGCGGTGGTTGCGTGCACAACAATCACAGCAGCAGGTGTGTGGGCGCGTGGGCGCGTGGGCGCGTGGGTGCGTGGGCGCGTGGCGCGTAGTGCGGGGTGAACAAAAAAATCTGTGTTCAGTTTTCGTGCCGTTCGAGGAGGCATTTATGGTTCGGATTCCCAACCCCTGATGAAAGAGCCTCCCAGCGACTTTAGGCGGCCCTAACGCGCGCCACCGGTGTCTCGTAAGTCTCCCACGTAACGGGTAATGTGCCGACGGGTCCTCTGCGTGCCATGCAGAAGAAAGTGCGAGAAAAAACGCTGTCTCAGCGGAAATGAATGCGAAGAGTAAACAAGTCGAGATCCTACATATGCATATCAATTTCTGCTTTCTGCTGCTTCGTAGAGGACCGCCATGCATAACGAGATGGCAGCCGAGTCATTTCCTGTGTTTTGTATGCACATTTGTTGTAGCCTATGCCAACAACGATGAAAGCGTGGTAACGTTCCTCCATTGCCCAAGATCTTCATCCACTCCAAAGGGCAGCAAGCGCTAATGAAAACGGTACACCACCAACGAGACGATGCTCGCGAATGGTGAGCTCATCACACTTGAATTGACCCGCGGCGTCAGAAACATCGAGCTTGGCACAGCGCCGTTCTTCGTTCTACGTAACATTTGAAATGAGCAGACGGCAGTATGAAGTGTTGACAGGTTCACGCCAGCTCGACTGCAAATATTCAGCTGGGTTTGAATGTTTGAACCGCGCGTTTCCTCTCGCGATATGTGACATAAAGGCATCAGCACCGCTATACAAACTTGTGGCCCAAATACCAACTTCTCTCGGTCTAAACACGAACGTTTCGGCGACACACACAGGTGGGTGGTTTCTGTTGGCCGGCCGAGCGAGCACGCGGAGGGAAGGTGGAGACCATCCTCGCATCCTCAGCGGCAGCAGCAGCGTCGAACGGATCGGCAATGGCGTCTTCACGGCTTGCCTCAGCGAGAGACGAGTCGAGAGACAAGCCGATGCTGCTCTCTGCCCGTTCTGTGAAAGAACGCGAACAAGACGCGGAAAAGAACGTTCTCTCCGCTGGGCGTCACCGCACCCCTTCCATGGGCAACAGCGATGGCTCCACTCAGCGTTCCGACTCCACCTGCTCACCCTCTTCTTCTTCGTCCATTGACTCTTACAACAGCTCCAGACCACCATCTTCCTTCCGATCATCACTATCGTCGCAGGGCGATCAACAACATAACAGCGGCCGCAGAAGTATCATCAGCAGCAGCAGCAGCAGGAGCAGGAGCAGCGCGCGGCGCCCAATGTCCTACGATGCAGCCCACCAAGTCGGCGTCGATCCCGGCATGCAGCTCTCTCACCGCAGCAGAGGCACTAACAGCAGCAGAAGTAATGACAACGGCAGCGCACGAGAAAGAAGACTGAGACCACCGGCCCTGACCGCCCAAGGCGCAATGCCACCCGCGCCGTCATCGGCTGCCAAGCCCCCGCGATTCCGGTCGCTCGACCCGGTATTCGACCGGCATCACAAGTACGACCTCGTTGCGGAGGAGCGGGCAGCGGAGGGAATGATGGTCACCGGCCGGTTCGGCCCCATCCAGGGCCCGTCGGTGCTAGCGGCATCGCTGCTCACCTCAGAGCTCTCCACGCCCTGGTCGCACGTACTCCGTGGGCAAAAATGGTAGCTCCAACCCGACGCCCTGTGGACAAGGCTGACAAAATGTATCAGTCGCCAAGGATGTAGACGATGAATCGAAGAGGCTCCGGGAGAAGGAAGGCAATACCGTCCAACGTGGTGCATGGATGAGCTGGCTTCAGTTGTCGAGTCCTTCGAATGACGGCAAGATGAAGATCACGAATTTATTTGTGGATGTGTTCGCGTGCTTCATTTGGAAATGCTCCCGAAGTAGCGCACCTGTATGCGACCTCGCCGCCCGAGCAATGCAAGTTCCGCCTCCATGGGGGCAGGAAAGTCGGCTTCGATTGGCAGAGGCCGGCCTTGCCCGACTCTGAAGGATCTCCAAGAGTGGTCTAGTCGTGGAAAGAAAGGTTGCCTACCGCTGTTGTCTTGGTTTCATGTTGCACGTACACCCTTTTCAGCCGCTAGGTGGGCTTCGAACGTGGAGGGAAGGGCTTTCGGGCGGCAGAACTAAACATACACCACCAAAGACGAGAGGCTGTATAAGGGGCGTCTTCCGTGAAAAGGGCACCTATCGGCTGTCACGAACTGACCAGCATGACCTTTTATCCGTTCTTGGAATCAGCTGAGCGTGGGGGGGGGCTCAAAGCAAAAGCAACTGCGGCGATTGCTTCTTGAAAGACCTGCACCAAATTTCAGGCCCCAGAATCGTGTAAGAGGATTGGTGCTGAAAAAAACATACTGTGCATTTCGATGTTGATTATTCAGACGAGGAACTTTGACTCCTTGCCGACAAGATCACCATTGAGGCTCGAGACTCGTTCTGATGCCTCACTGAGATGAATAGCCTATCAATGCGTTTTTGTCGATTTACACAGGAAGGTGGGAATGTGTCACGCGCACAGGGAAGACCTGGCGGTGCCAGTCGAGAGGTACATCAGAATGAAACGTTAGAATAAAGCATTCCACTTACGTGCTCTCCGCAAAATCCTACTAAAACCAGACGAACATCAATTCAAAGACGAAAGTAGCGACCGGATGTTGATTGCCGACGTTTCGTAATGCTTCGTACGCTTCGACACTACGCACAAAAACTTACACTACCAGTTCTCTCATGTACTGTATCTACAACAATCTGTTTCCTTTGTGCTCTAGCTACTACACTGTGAGCATATCGCTACTCCTAAACCCATAGCCCCCTCGTACAGAGATAAAACAGGAAACTCCAAGAAGTCGTGGCGCCCGCTAACATGGTACGCGTGAACGGTGGACGAAGCAACGCGCTCAGCGCCGGGCCTTCTGCTTCCCGCTCGCACACAGTCCCTTCCACAACCTGCCCTTGTCGCCGCCACCACCGGGGTTCCCCGCCCCCTTCCCCTTCTTGAGCGCGCTGATGCCACTGAACGCCCCCGCCCCGGCCTTCTTTCCAGCGGCAGAGTTCGCGCCGGACGCGGAAAAGGGCGGGCGGCTCGTGCTCCACCCCTCCTCCCCTCCCTCTTTTTCGGCACCAACTTCTCTCGCGGCAGGCTCCTCGAAGCCGGTGCGCGCGCAGTTGTCGTCGGCGCCAGCGCCGGCGGCGGCGGCGCCAGGAACGCTGGACATGAAGACGAACTTGGAGACGGACACTGTGGTCTTGCCCGAGGCGAGGGAGCCGGAGCGTGAGTGGAAGCTGCCCGACCGCGACAGGAACGAGCCCTGCCGCCGGACCTGGTCGTTTCGGTGGTCGACAAATAGCAGCAGTAGCATTTGGGCGGACGGGGCGGTTTCACGTTTGCTTCGGTTGAGGTGGTTTCGTCGATCGGGGCGTCGGTTCAAAGCGCGTCGTGCGAAACGGGAACACCGCACGCTGTCACCTTGCCAACATATTTGCGCGAGTGTGCATCTGTGCTACATGAAAAAGAGTGACACCGACGAGCACACCTTCGCCAAGAAACAAGGCCGGCAGCAACAACGCCCTCGTACTTCTACGAGACAGACAGACACAGGGGTATGGCGAACGGTACCTATGTAAAAGCCGAGCACCCACCTTCTTGGCGCGTGCTGAACCCGCATACCCAGCGCTTGAGGTGACGAACTGGGGCATGGTGAAGGCGCGGTCCATGCGCGCGCGGGCCTCGGCATTGGTCACATCCGTCGGCTCGGTCCCGTCGCTCTTGGCCCGCTTCAGGTTCTAGACCGATCGGGTTCGCGTCCAGCATGCATGTATCGGGAAACGAGGGGAGTAATTTCACCATTTGCATGCCTACGGGAGCAAACATGGAGAAAAACGCGATCGATTCACGCGGGGGTATGCATATGCTGCCGGGCTTCGTTAACACCGTGTCGGCGGCATGACAGAGCGTCCTCCCAGCGGAAGTCCTTCCTCCCGCCGATCATATCGACAGCAGCTACGGGTCGATTGTGCTGGGATACAGCCGTGTGCGTTTCTTCGTGGGTATTGGCAGAACTTCAAAAGCAGACGGCGGGGATTACCTCGGTTTGTACAACCTCGAGCAAAACAAACAAAGCCAAAAAGTGTTCACAATCGGCGCAGAAACATGCGCACGCGTGCGGAACGGCGGTGTACAATAGTACATATCGTTTACCTTTGAAGACATGCCCATCCCGAAGCCGTTCGCGACCTCGTTAGCGTCTAGCTCGCCCGAGTACTCGTCGCGGGCCCGCCGCCTACCGCCGCCGCCACCGCGGCCGGTGGTGCTACTCCCGCCCGTGTCTCCCGTCGCCGCCGCCGCCCCGGCCGTACCGTCCCCGCTGGCAACGCCGCCTCCTCCGTTAGAAGCGGAGAAGCCGAGGCGGCTGTTGGTGCACTGGAGCAGGCTGAGAATGGCCTGGGAGTCTTCGTCCTGTATGTATTGATGGGTGTGACGTACAAACGACCAAAGTTTAAGCTTGTCGAACTAACGAATGAACACGAGGGGGTTGAGTACGTGCGCGGTAACCGAAGAATAGCAGCGAATGCTACTAATATGAAGCGGAAACATGAGGTTATCGAGGCGTGTAAATCGGGGGGGCGGGGGGACCACCGTATCTCGGGACATCCAACAAGAAGATGCGAGCATTCTCTTTCTTTTCACGCGGCATCGGTGTGTTAGTCCAAGCACGTGACGATGCCAGCAGCACCCCGCACAAACCAACACCAGCAAACAAACGACCGGATTCCCCCTTCTTCAACTCGGTCGCTTTCCCACCTCCTGCATGAGGAACTCCGGCCCCTGGCTGTCCCCTCCCGCCGCGGACTGCTCCACCTCCGCCAACACCCTCCTGCGCTTGGCCCTCTTAACCCACAGCTTCTGCACGCGGGCCTCTTCTCTCCTGTCCTCCTCCTCCTCCTCCTTACCCTCGCCCTTGCCGTCACCGTCGGCGGAGTCGTCATCCTCCCCCTCGCTCTCAGACGACTCCAGGCACTCCACCGCGGTCTGCGCACACCAGTATGAGAGGGGGGCGTGGGATGGGGGGGGGGGGG